AGTTCAAATATGGCCTCACTTACTAGCTGTGTGACCTGGGCAAGTCACTTTACCCTGTTTGCCTCAGTTTCCTCATCTGTAAAATGAGTTGGAGAAGGAAGTAGCAAACCACTCCAGCATCTTTGCCAAGAAAACCCCAAATGAGGTCATGAAGAGCCAGACAGGACTGAACGACAACAAAAATGGTTTAATTGATGGAAATCACGTTAATGAAAATGCATTATTATTTGATTTGCTGCTGGGGTGGGAGAGCTTTCCATATGATTAATAGCTGAAGCCTCTTGTCTCCTCCTGTTAGAGTGTGACCTCCTTGAGAGCAGGGCATATGTCTCTTTTTCTATCTGTATGACCCGGGATTAGCACATTTAAATGCAGTATTAACAACTTCGTAACTGTCTTTCATACGCTGCTCCCTATCTCTACAGACCTTATTCTCTCCCCAACCCTTTGGAACTGATGTCCAGCTACAGAATTTCCAGCTGTGTTTCTGTGTATGTTGTGGATCATGACGTCTTCCCATCGGAATGGGAGGTCCCCAGTGGCAGGGACTTTGCTTCTTCCATTGAACTGAGAACTCCCTGAAGGCAGAGCCTTTACAGGGCTTGATGGAAAAGAGCACTGGATTTCGATATTAGGCAAGGGCTGGTGGGAATCCTTGGCCTGTGCCCCTTATTCTCTGTGTGGCCTGGGGTAGGCCACTTAATCCCTTGAGGCTTTTACACAGCATCTTCATTCAGGCCCTTATTACTCCTCACCTGGACTATTACAAAAGCCTGCACTGCATCCTGCACAGTCATCCTGATCTATGTCTTTCCACTGGACTCCCATGACTGGGGGAGAGAGTGAGGCTGATGACCCTGCACAGCTCTGCCTCACTTAAATCCAATTCACTTGCAAGTCAACACATCACCCTCCCAGTGTCACTGGTCCTCTTTGAGACTGAAGGACAAACAACAATGACAATAGCCTACTAATTGATCTCCTTGGGTCATACCTCCCTTCTCCAATCCATCCTCAACCCCTCCAAAAATGACATTCCTAAAGCACAGGGCATGGTGACCACTTCGATGCTCAATAACTCTAAAGGCTCTTTATTTAACCTCTAGCATCAACTAGAAACTCCTCTCTTTGGCCCTTAAAGCTCTTTACCATCTGGCCCCTTATCTTTCCCCTCCAGGATCTCGACATTTGGGCCAAATTGGCCTATCTGCCATCTTCACACGTGACATTTCATCTCCATGTCCCATTTCAGTGTCTTTGCCTAATGCAGGAGATAATTAAAAGGTAATTTCCTTGAGGGCAGAGACCTGTTTTGCTTTTCTCTTTGTATACAAAGTGTTTAGCAAATGACAGGTGATAAAGAAATGCTTGATTTAAACCCTTTCAAACCTGGCTCCAATAGCTTTCCCAGCTTCTATGTTCATATGAGAATACACTTTTATATTACTCCCTTCCTATTTTTCTGTATTCAAACTAAACTTGACTTTCTTGCTGTTCCTCACACTTGACATTCCATCTCTCTCCTCTGTCTCCGTGCCTTTGTAGGGCCTGTTGCCCGTGTCTGGAATGCACTCCATCCTCCCGGCTCAGCCAAATTTTCTTCCTATCTTCACTCTAGTCCCCCTACTTCAAGCCTTTCTGGATTCCCCTCAGCTGCTTCTCCCCACCCCAACCCCATTACTTTGGATTTATTTTGTATATATTTATATGTGCTAGAATATACATAACATATGTCTGTATTTACATATACATATTTTATATGTATATACATATACACATTTACATTTATACATAATACAAAATACATGTATACATTTACATATACATAATAATACAAAATATATGTCTGTATTTACAATCTATCTAGTCTATTTAGATAGACTAAATTCCTTGAGGGCAAATAATTTTGTTTTCATCTTTTCATTCTCTCTTTGCATTTGTACAATGCCCAACAAGTTGTAATCAATAAATATTCATTGATTGCTTCATTTCTGTCACAGTAAAATGAAAGGTTTGGACTAGACCAAGGATTCTTACCCTTTTCCTTATCATGAACTCCTTCCTCAGTTTGGTGAAGCCTATGGACCCATTTGGGACTGTTAGGTGGCACTGTAATCGATAGAGCCCTGGGCCTGCAGTCCTCTTCCTGAGTTCAAATCCAGCCTCAGACACTTACTAGCTGTGTGACCCTGAGCAAGTTACTTAATCCTGTTTGCCTCAGTTTCCTCATCTGTAAAATGAACTGGAGAAGAAAATGGCAAACCACTCCAGTATCTTTGCCAAGAAAAACCCAAATGGGGCCACGAAGAGCCAGACATGACTGAAAAGACGATCAAACAACAACAAAATGTACTCATTCTCAGAATAATTTTTTTTCATTTTCAATTTTATTTATTTATCAGAATAATTTTTAAATGCATAAAATAATTACATAGGATTACATAAGAAACCAGTTATATTGAAATAGTTACCAAAATATTGTTTAAAAAGTTCAGGAATCCCAGGTTAAGAACTGCTGCCCTAAGTAGACCTTTTCCTCCTAAATGCACTTGATGATCTCTAAAGTCCCTTCCAGTTTCAAATCTGTGATTCTATGAACCAGTGGTCATAGTGGTCATCTCCCACATCAGACAAGGAGCTTCCTGAGAACAGAGAATTTCTCCCCCACCAAACTGGGAGCTCTCTTACAGAAAATGCCTTTATCCAAATGCAATCTGGAGGTGAACATCTCATCTTTCTCACCCTCATACACCAATTCATAGGAAGCTGTTGTAGTACGGTTTGGTTTTGTTTCTTAATCTGGAGGAAGGAAAAGAGGTCACTCAAGAGTAGAAAGAATCAAGCATCTGCAGGCAGTTCAGCATCAGGGAACCTTTATATATTACTGGCAAGAGCCAGCCATCCTAGCCTGCAGCTCTAGGCTTCCCTGAGACTGCCTAGACTTTTCTAACCAGCAGCCTGGGTTACCATCCCCTAGTTTTTCCCTGTTCTGCCTTGGCCATTCTTATCACAAAGGCTTTATTGAGTCCACAGCCTGTAGCCCTGGGCTTTACCCGAGGTGGGGAAGGGAGCGGCACACCTTTGGCGAGCTTCCAGAGGATTTTCTTTTTTTTTTAGGCAATTGGGGTTAAGTGACTTGCCCAGGTTCACACAGCTAGTAAGGGTCAAATGTTTGGTCTGAGGCCCTATTTGAACTCAGATCTTCCTGAATTCAGGGCCGGTGCTCTATCCACTGCACCATCTAGCTGCCCCCCAGAAGATCTTCTAAACTTGAATGGGAGAATCTGGCATCCAGAAGACTGAATACTGAACAAAGATACCAGCTGGCTAAGTGAAAAGTTGATTGACATTATATACAAAGAAGAGGCCACAGCACCTCTGGGTGGAAGAAAATGGAAGGGGAATAAGGGGGAAGTCAATTTTTAAAAATTAAATTAAAAATTTTTCAAGCTAAAAAGTATTTCCATTAAGGAAGTGGGGGGATGGAGGGATTCTCCTGTCCGCTCTAGTTAATACAAGAAAGTTTCTTCCTTTCCTGGATTTTCAAGAGTCACATGAATTAAGGGGCAGGGTGTGGTGGGCTAGAAATGGAGGGAAAATGAAGAGGGCATTAAAGGAAAATCTCAGAAAACTCCAGGCTTTTGGCTTAAGGCAAAGGGTAAGGAACTGGAAAAGCTGGGGGTGGATCCCAGGAGAGGTGATGAAGGGGAAAGCACTGAGCAGGACTGGAGGCTGAGCCAAAGCCCTGGGATGGGCAGATGACAGAGTCTTGGTGTGCCAGAGAGGAAAAAGAACCATTTGCTGCCAACACCATGCACACACATGCATACTCAGATTCCCATTCTTGCACAGAATCACCCATCCGCGGCTCCAGATGTGCACACACAGATAGCAACACACAAGGAGGCTAGGGCACACAAACACAGACGCCTACAGCCAGCCCCGGCCTTGGCCCACTCCCCCAGCTGAATTCTCGGGGGGCTTCAGATGAAGTGGCTTATTAATACAGATAATCTGGAAAGAAGGTCTTAAAGTGCCACCCCCGAGAAAGGGGTCAGATCAGGCACTGAGGCCCGCACCTTTTGGAGAAAGTGTGTGTGGGTAAGGCTCACATAAGAAGCTGCATCCCAGCACTCGGGGCTGGGGCGGACCTGGAAGGGGGTGCAAGATTGGGGGTGCGGTCAGAGACTCTGGGGTTCGGAAGGAGATGATATCTGGGGAGGGACTGAGGTGCAGTGCTGAGGGAAGGGGGCTGGCTGCGAGGATCAGTGCCAGGAGCGGGGATAGGGCGGGGCTGCCAGCGGGAGGGAGGGGGAGCCCAGTCGAGCCCCGGGGGAGGCAGCCGTCCTGCGGACTCGCTCCGGCCTCCAGCCGCGGCGTGACCGTGACCGTGACCGTGACGCCACGCTCATCTGGGACCGCCCCCTCCTCTCCCTTCCCCTAGGCCCCGCCCCGACGCCGCAGGGCCATGCCAGTCCCCGGGCCGGGGGAGGGGTACTGCGCTCAGGCCCCCGCGGGAATCCCGGGATGTTCGCCAGGACCTCAGCCCCTCCGGGGCCGGACGGGGCGGGTCAGGCGACGTTGTCCAGATGCAACCTTCGCCCCAGTACACTTCCCCTCCCCCCGCTCGCAGGCGGCTGTTTTCTTCAGATTTGGGCACCACCCCAGGACAGAGACACGCAGACATATCCCCTTCCCTCCCCCAGTTCTTCCAAGGCTCACTGTAGCCCGCAAGCTGCCCCTCACCCCCGCGGGGGGGCCTCTCCCCTTCATCCCCCTCCACTCCTGGGAAGCCCACCCCATCCCCCTTCTGCAGCAGACTTCGGAGTCTGCATAAAACGGGCTGGTCAACAAACAGAAGGGAGGGGGCACCGTCGTGGTTGGGGATGGGGAGCCAGTGTCCATGACAGGGAGCCTGGCCCAGCTCAGCCCTTCAACCCCAGCCCAGCTCCCCATGCCTGCGTCACCCCGTTCCCCCTTGGAATGGAACCTCTCCAGAGCTGAAAGTTTCATTTATTTTAATACTTATGGATCTTCTGAGCGGATGAGAACCTGAGTATAATCCAAAGGGTAGAGGGGTCATGTGACCAAAAGCAAGTTCGGTGCCTCCCCCACGACTCCCCTCCCTTCTCATCGATATAGATATCTCTATCTATCTATCTATCCATCTATCTATCTATCCATCTATCTACCTACCTACCTATCTATCTGGCCTCTCAGCTGCGTCTGGTAAAACAGCCTGGAAAAGCCCCCCCAAAACACCCTTCTCGAGCAACTCAACTCTTCTTCCAAACAGCTAGAATAGACGCCCAGGCCACTGCCTCGACTTGCCTGAGCTAAGGTACCTCTGGGAGGGACCGTGATGGGGGTGGGGAATGGCAGTAAAGTGGCCTGAGGCGGGTGGGGGAGGGAGCTCCGTGGGAAGGTGGGAGGGAGAAATGCAGCGGTAACGATGTGGTGCTGGTGGTGTCCTGGCATCGCCGGTGCATCCTGAATCACCAAGGGGCCCTAGGCTCCCCGTGCCATCCACAGTCGGGGAAAACGAGTTATATACCCTCCTGGAGGGGAAGGGCCGCAGCCCCGAGGAGGGGCCACCAAGAAGGGCTGAGCTTATTCCATTCAGCACCCAGCAAATACTGATTGGTCATGGAATTCCAGAATATCACCTCAGAGGCAGTTCCACTGGGTAATTTTACAGGTGAAGAAACTGAGGCCCAAAGGAGGGAAAACGATTTACCTAAGGTCACACAACTACTTAGTGGCATAGCTCATAAACTGAAGAATAAGAGTCAGAAAGGACCCTTGGAGATCTAGTCCGACTCTCTCGTTTGACAGGTGAGGAAAACGAGGCTAGCTGGTGAGGTCCTAGCCCTCCCTGCTTCCTCAGAAAGGCTCAGGTGCAGTATGGGAGACTGGTGAGGGCTGGGAAAGAGGAGGCACCTTCCTCCCCCCGCCCCCATCATCTCCTCAGGCGGCAGCAGTGTCCCCTAAGGGCCAATCACCTCTTCTGTCTCCGAAACTGTCGGTAGAGCCACTGGACAACGAATGGCCATAGGAGGAGGAGAAGGAGTGTCGGGGTAGAGAGCTCCAAGGCCCAGGGCCCCTGCTGGGATGGAGGGTTCTGCAGGAGGAAAGGAGAGGATAAAGGTGGGGGGAGAGGCCCACAACCTGAACCCAAGCCTAAACTCCCCTCAGCCC